ATAATTTCTAGACCCACTCGCCATTTTAAAAACACACTCGTTATAACAGCAGTTCTCGTAAACCCACCAAATAAATTATCTTTAGCAGATAGGTGCTCGATACACATCACAGACTTTATTATCTCGAACCTTTTCCTTTAATTTTAAAAGTACAGCCATTGCAAACAGTCCTGGTTGTTACCGATTCCAAAAATATTTAAAGTAAAATGTAACAAGGCCCTTGCTTCAAAGTTAGGATTAGCAGAGTTCACGGACTTCCAAATGAAAAATTCCGAGTGGGTACATCTTTTCACAGATGGGTCAAAAACTCAAGATGGAGTCGGTGCGGCTACTATTTCTGACAATGTGCAAATGTTCTCATTACTCCTCTTTTGTTCTCATTGCTCTTCCTACCATCCAGAACTGTGTGCAATAAATTGTGCCGTGTCTAGTACCAACTGCAATAAACAGCGAATTTATATTTGTACAGATTCCCTTAAAGCTATTAAAAATTTATTTCCAACTAACTCATTAGTCACCCACACAGTTTGGCAGTTTGTGGGGTGCTTTCGGGCTGAAGCCACCCCAAAATGGCAGAATATAACCATGTTTTATGGAAAAAAATATTAAAAAATTATCTCTTAAAGTCTTATTGTTCGTGTAATTACATATAAAAGGACTTAAGGAATCACTTAAAACACCATTTCATATAGATAGTTAGTTTCTTTCTTTTTTTCCAAAGTAATTATCGTCATTTTTATGAAAAAAAAAGCTTTCGGGCTGAAGCCCCTCCCCCCAAAATCAAATCCTGGCTAGTGCAGTTTGGCATATAAAAACGTTGGAGAGTGTAGGATGTAAAACAAAATTTTTGTGGTTACTGAGCCACTTATGTATTTGAGATAATCAGCTAGCCGATATCATGGCAAAACAAGCAATCAGTGAAGGAACTCCAGTAGGGGATGGTTTTCCAAAAGAAGTAATAGCTTTGGTAAAGCGAAAGGCTCTGGAGAAATGGCAGGGTCTCTGGCATGTGTTAAGAGATAATAAGTTGAGAGTGATCAAGCCCTCTGTAGTTCCCAATCGAGCGGACCTTCAGTTAAATAGAAGAGAAAAAATAATACTGACAAGGCTCCGAATCGGCCACTCACGGCTAACTCATGAGTACCTAATGACAAAGGGGACGCCCCCTCAGTGTCTCTGCTGCGGGGTCAATTTAACAGTGAGGAACATTTTGACTGAATATTATGCATATGAAATACAAAGGGATGAAATTGAATTGGAGAATGATAATAATGAAATTTTGAGCAACAGCACCAAATTGACAAAAAAATGTTTGCATTCCGTCAAATAACGCACCTATATCACAAAATTTAAATTTTTCTGACACTTTTTTGGAAATTTTAATGTTTTAAATATTTTGTTCTTTCAATTTATTGTTAAATTTCATCTGATGTAATATAAATACTGTGTAAGGGCTAAAATGACCCGTAAGAGGTTGAGAAATCCTCTCCTCCCCTCTCCCACCATTGTTATAAATAAATAAAAAAATAAAGAAAATCTAATTTCCAAGGAAACATATAAAAAATTCAAAACGTCAAATCTCTATAACAAATGGTCCAATTTCAATATTTATTTTTGTTTTGAAGAAAATATCATTATCTCAAAGATAAGCACATAATTGATAAACACGCACACAAAAAAGTAAAAAACCTGTACCACTACAACCCATGAAGGGTCTGGGGTTCAGTACTATTTAGGGAAAGCACTGTTTCTAGCCCCTCGGCCAATGAAACAGATAAATAATTTTTCTGCCATGAGCCTGGGTTCGAACCTGGGACCTTTTCATTGGAAGCTCAGTATCCTACCACTGAGCTACCCCACTCCCTATACAAAAAAGTAATAAAATAAAAATCACAATTTTTTCAGTTATTCGCAAATAACATGCTGTATTCATCAGCACTTCTTTCCTGCCGTTTTTGGGAAGTTTGTGATAAAATTTAATTTATATGAGTGGCCTCTTATCAAAGACGGATATCAGCCATTTTTAAAAAGTTGAGAAAAAGCCAATTCTTGTAACATAGCTTCCATTTAGACCAATTCTAATGGTTATTTTTCGTAATTTAACTTGAAAATTCTTGAATAAAATCATCGGAAACAGTGTGAATTGAACCTATAAAACATAACCGAATTGTATGCAAAATTTATCCAAATCTTTACCGTATTGTTCTACCTGGAAAACAATCCTATATATCGTATTTCATCTCATCTTGTGGTATTGCAGTAGTTAAGTAAAAATAGTACAATTAATGAATAAATTTATTCCTCTGTTGGACGAAAAAAAGTATTGCCAGAAGAGAAATGAAACTTTTAATATATTTACATAATGAGTTAGTAAGTTAGACCTCTGTAAAAAACGCATAATAATGTTGAAACAGGCTTAAAAGATTTCATTCAGTCCAGTTATTTCAGCCTCTTTATAAAAATTCCTTTCAGATATAACTCCTTAGTTTCCTAGCTATTTTCTCGGTCATAAGTTAGCATAAAATAAACATTGTCAGTTACAATGGATATTGTAATTCAACATTAAAACAAATTAAAAAGAAATAATCCCAGGCAATCTTAAGGGAATGTATTTACATACATAGTTAAACTCATTTATAGATTCTAAGTTAAACTTACGTCTGTGAATAATTAAACTTGGTTTTGTAGTCGAGTGGCTTGTATATCCGAACGAAATGTATGGAGGGCTGTCCACAGGACTGAAGGCGAGACTGAAGAAAATCATGAATTGCTTCATAAGATTCATATTTGGGATTCCCAAGCGTTCTCATATTTCTTGTTGGTACACCGAGTTGAAGTGGCTATATCCTACTTCCCGACGGCAATTCCTACTTGGTGTTTTTCTCTTTCAAGTTCTCAGAATCAAAAACCCTCCCTACATCTTAGAACTCCTTACTTTACGCTCCTCTATCCACACTCTTTAAAAACAGATCTCAACCTATAGATTTATATATCCCCTCTCATAAAACTACTTCCTTCGGTAAATCCTTCGTCATTCGTGCAACCTCCTTATGGAACTCCTTAACCATTTCCATACTTCAAACCACGTCCATAAACTCCTTCAAACAACTCCTATCCCACCACCTACTACAAATTCAAACTTCCGTAAGCTTGTAAAAATTTCTGGGTTATATAATTACGTTGGCCACCAGCAGTTAATTGATAGAAGTCATTTTATTTTTATTTATTAATTTTTTTACATCTCAATATTTTATTGTATATATTTGTGTTTATCGTTAGTATTTTTTGTAGATATTTATATTTTCCTTGTTACTTTTATTTTTTTTTTTTTTATATATATTTGGATTTTCCTCAGTATCTTTGTGTGTATATACACATATGTATGCTTACAATTATCTAGGTATTTTTTGTATATATGTGTATAATACTTACATGCCAGATTGATGTACATATTTTGTAAACACTACTGTTCTAAGATTAAAATTATTTTTCATTTCATTTCAAAAGGCAAGATTCATTCGTATATTGACATTCTCTGATACATGTGTTTGTATCGGTGACGAAATGTTCATGTCAGGACCTGTAATACTGGTAGAATACTACTACCCCAAGATTAAATATTCACAGAGTTCAATTTGAATAAAATATATTAGTCCAGGATATTCTTTTTATCAAATTATGAACATCCACCTAAAACGGCCGCTGTACAGAGATATGCTACTCGTGTATGAGTACTGCAGCAGTAAAGTGGGCGTATTAGACATCCTGAAAGTCTCTTTTATCATTGGTCTTAGTAAATTTAAGCACTGTTTAAAAAAAAAAAAATGTCTACTTTACGATGGTGTACTTAGAATTTTCTTTTCTTCAACGGTTGCTAAATTTAGTTAAATTGAGCGGTTTCACTTTGGGACTAAAGCGAGTCTATATAATAAAATAAAGTTTATAATTGTGGGTAAATGGTTGACTGTCGTGAATAATGAAGAGAAGAATAAATTATAAATTTAGACATTTTCCGACGTTCCGACATTAAGTTCAGGACTTCATCAGGGCTAAGAAAAGAACCAGATAACAAGATATGAGAAACAAAAGTAGTGTAGGTAAAAAAAAATTGAAGTAAAATGAAGTTGTTAGAATAATGACAATAGTAAGAACTAAGAGATAAATAATAATAACCGTTACAAAGTGTGGAATGATGAAGTAGGCATAATCAAAAAAGGTGACAGAGTTAGTTAGAAAATTCTATTTGCAAAATCTTAAAAAAGAAAATTCTATTACTATTCTATTTGCAATATCTTAATTTTACTATTTATTTTCATTTGTTATATAACTCCATATTCCTTTTTTTCTGTTTTACATTTTATTCTAATATTCCCATTTTAATACTTATGTCACCTTTTTTATTATGTTTACTTCATCATTCCACACTTTGTAACGGTTATTATTATTTATATCTTAGTTCTTACTGTTGTAATTATTCTAACAACTTCATTTTACTTTAATTTTTTTTTTTACCTACACTACTTTTGTTTCTCATACCTTGTTATCTGGTTCTTTTCTTAGCTCTGATGAAGACCTGAACTTCAGGTCGAAACTTAGGTAAATGTCAAATAAATATTATCATTTATTTTTGCCTTCTTATTTTACTGATCTATTAACTATTCTTCTCGCAACTATTCTTCTCTTCAAAATAAAGTTTATTTCGAATATGAAATTATCTGGCGTGCTAATAATTTTTGTAACTTTCATTTAGTCTTGATACAATAATGCTCCATTGCGTCAAGTGATTTCAAATTTAAAATAAACTTTAGTCACTCTCTGGTTCCCAAAAAAACTCCGATTTACTGAACTGGTGAAAAAATCAGATAAATCCAAACCAAAAAAACTCAAAGGATTAAAAAAATCTAAATCCAGAGAAGAAAATGGCAGTCTGGCAATCTCGGGCATACATAGATCCCCCAGCTCTCTTCTTCTACTCGCAGTTCTTGCACACCCCGACTCACCTTGAGAAGATCTGATTGGTCGTTGAGGTCTATGGGTATCTTGATGGGCTCATCGAGACAGCAGCCCACACAGCACCTGTTACAGCACATAGCACCCGCACCGCACTGACCGACGTTCGCTCTATTTCGGTCCTCCCTTCCACCTCTGGTCCACCTGATGGCGTGTAGTCCGGCGGGACTGGGTCTCTAGGGTAAGAGGTAATTATGTCTGTGTATCTTGCACGATATGAGGGCGTTCACAGCAATCCCGTGATAATGGAATGGAATTTTCAAAAATATATTTTTTTTTATCAATAGTTGATTGTAAATGTAAATAACGCATAGGCGACCAATGGGATAACTAGAGGTGTTGTACATCAAGAGTGAATAGGGAAGAGTGAGTACTGACTCATGAGCAGTGGTGGACGGATATATTTGTATTCGTAAACATTTTTTTTATTTTTTTTATTTAATGAAATTTACAACTGTATTACATGAAAAATACAACAAGTAAATGTGACATTGGTAACATGACATGTACAACATGAAGAGAAACTACCCATTGGTAGAACTCAAATTAAGGTTCTATATTAGAAGGTCCCGAGACCATCTTCTTTTCAGACGCTTCGGAGGGTTATCAGTGATCGAGGAGGAAGCAAGGTTTGAAACAAGAGGGTTCGGATGGATCTGCAGTTTGTTATGGAAGGGTAGGTATCTGGATTGGACCGAATCTGAAAAAATATGAAACATTAAGGTCTTTATGGATCATTTTATTTGTGACAAAGTAAGGAACATTAAGGATTTTACGAAGGATTTTGGATTGTAGGGATTGGATACGAGGAGAATTCGATGGTTTAGTGGAGACCCATAGTTCAACTCCGTAAGTCCAAATAGGTCTTATTATAGTCATGTATATGAGTCTTTTGTAATTTTGGAGGATTTGATCGTTTGTCTAGTAAGTGTTGGAGTAAGCGGAAACGTCGAGCTGTTTCTTGTCGTTTCAGTCTCGTAGAAGGATTCCAAGTGAGACGTTTATCCAGGTGGAGTCCTAGATATCGGATTTGTTCAACATGGATTAGTGGGGTGTTATTAAAGGATACTGTAGGACAGGAAGTCATAGGTTTACGACGAAGGGTAAAAGTGATTTGATGGGATTTATTGGGATTTATTTTAATCCTCCAGTTTTGATACCATTCTTCAAGGTTTTGATAATGTGTGATTGAAGAGTTTGGGATGCAATAGATGGATCGTTATTAACTGAAAGAATACATGTGTCATCGGCATACGTTGTGGTCAAATGGTAAAAAGGCCCTTGACAGTAACAATTTGAATATTTAATTGTACTGTTACATAGTATCCCTCAAGCCAGTCATGTAATTAATTTCCCAATTACGAAAAATTGGTAACTATGTAGCCTAAAACATCATAAGTGACTTTATGTTATCGTACTCTATAAATATTGCTTCCTCACTGCCAAAAGTAGAGAAGCTTTGTATTTGTGTGGAAAGTTAAAAAAATGTGCCCAGAATCTAAAATTGCCACTTGCGTTTTACATTTCAGAAGAAAATGATCAAATTTGGTTCAGTGCCTGTATGTCGATCTTCTGTAGTAAAATCGGGCATATCACCTAATACCATTTATCCGATTTTCATATTTTTTTGGGATCGTGCGGGTTGTTGCCTAGATGTTCCATATCAATACTAGTTCTCAACCTATAGACTTATATATCCCCTCCCATAAAACTTCCTCCTTCATCAAATACTTCGTCATTCGTGATGATTCGTTATGAACTTACTTCCTACCTCCATGCGCCAATCCACAAATTCTTTCAAAGAACTCTTGTTCCTCCACCTACTCCACATTCAAACTTCCACTAACATGTGAAATGACTTGCATCTGTACCCTGTTTAATTTCAATCTATTGTACAATTGAAATAAAAATTAACAGTAAATTAGTTTTTTTTCTATTATTATGTCAGACTAAGACCCATACATTTGTAAATCTGTTATTATTCTTAGGGGACAGTAGTCCCAGAATAAAATTATTTTTTCATTTCATAGTACTTCCGGTTGTGCACTCGCAAATATATTTTCTTAGATCTGCCAATATTTCAGAAACAGCCTAATCGATGTTGCTCAAAGTTGAAAGGAAGGTGGGTATTGGTTAATTAATGATGTTGATTCGATTTTATTGAAATCTGTACAGTACTTCAGATTGCTCTCGCGCAGAAGTATTTTCTTAGATATGCCAATATTTCATGTTTGATTTGGCTCAAAGTTGGAATTTAGTAAAATAATGATGCTGCATTAATTTTAATATATTCTTCCCGCTATTTTCTCTTTTATATACAGTAACGTATTTTCTTTGGTACGCCGATACCGCAAAAACCGCACCTTCGATTTGAGTCAAATTCGGAGAGAAGTTAGGGATTGATAAATAAATGATCAGATTGGTCATCAATGATGATCAATTCCAGCAAATCCTTCCATCAATCTCTTGAAAATACTTCCGCTTTCGAATTTCTTTTTGAATATGGTTTCTCACGAATATTTTATTCACAAACGAAAAATTATTGACATTGAGATATAGGTAAGTGTGGAACCAATGGGATTGGTGAGGAAGCTATACTGGTCTCACTTGGAGGAAGTTTTTATTTATGGAAATTCTCGGAATGGGTGTAGTTTTCAATCTTGAGATCGGCAAACATGTCAATTTAATTACGTACTAAAAACTAATGAACATCCATTTTCTTTCTAATGAACATCCATAATCTATCAATTCTTTACTTCTTTAACCTTTAGTCCCGTTATATATTTACCTACAGTTATCAAATGTAACCTCCACTAGCTTGTTATCCACTGATATCTTATTCTTATTTTAGCTTTACTATATCAATACTTATTCAATTTTCAATCTATTTATTCGTTAAGAATCATTTTCTTCATCGGTTAACCTACAGTTATCAAATGTAATCTTTATTAGTTTGTTATACACTCATTCCTTATCTTTTATCGCAATCTGTTTACTTTTAACTTACATGCTATATTATCCTTTATTTTCTATTTTTATTCATACTTATTTTCCATTTTTGTTTGCATCTTCTGCATATATAATTCTTGATATTTTAACTACATTGTCAGCCACTATATCTCTGATATCATCTTTTTATTTCTGTATCAGACGACTTATTCTTATTTTATATCTAATTATATTCATTTATTTTATTTTCACCATGTTTTGTATCTTTTGTAGCCCCGATGAAGAGCTGCAAAGTGGGTCGAAACGTCAACAAAAATTAAATAATACTATTTGTTTAATTTAGTATTTATTTGACCGCAGCCTCCGATCAACTCCTTCTCATTTTCTTTCTACTTGAATCTTAAGATAGTTTGATCACAAAATAGAGAAAAAAAGGTGGCTTACAAAAAAATTCGGCCCTTGACCTGTATAATATAATCGCGTAATATAATGTGAAGTTTGGTTTGTTCCTTCTGATTCACCGTGTAATTAATAGATATTAATCTACTTATTGTTAATTAATGGATACGAACGAATAGCTATAGAAGAGGCAACACTGACAATATGAACGAGTCCAATTGATAACAGAGAGGGGTGCCCCCAACAGAGCTGCACCCTCAGTCACCATTCACCACTCCACGGCCTCTTCACCAGTCACTTCCATTCAACGGCTCAACAATATATATAGGATCGGTGGTTAGGTCTTCTGCTCTGATCAGCGTTGCCAGGTCGGTTTTCAACCCTAAATTTAGGGTAATTTTCACCCTATGGGATTTTTTTTTAGGGATTGTAAAAATTGGAAATATTTTTCTTTCTCGTACAAATATTTAGGTATTCATCAGCTTTTAGAATTTAAGAAGGATATTAAAAAGCATTTTTCAGGATAAATTCAAAAGGCATGTGAAAATAATCCACAGATCATGTCTTTTGGGGAAAAATATTCATGGGCTATCCAAGTATTATTACATAGATAGATATATAGAAAATAAACATTATTTTGTGACGAGACCCTTTTGAATAACAATTATGAATAAAAACACATCTGGCCAAAAATTTCACTAATCAACATTAAAGAATATATACAGTATCTTAAGTGAAAGTATGTTAAAACAAATAAAAAATAACACCATTTTGAAAGAAAGAAAAAAAAATATTATTTAAATGAAAAGAAAAACAGAAATCAGATCAAAATAAATAACAAAATAATATTAGCATGGATTGATTTTAAAAATTATGTTAACTTTTCATAATTAAAGGAACCTCTTCCATGTAAATACTTATTTATAATTCCTTAGTCCGACGTTTCAGGATTCTGACCTATCTTCGACGACAATTTATTCTGTTATTGGAACATTACAATCATTTTGAAATATGAATAGAAAATAAACTTTATTCTGTGACGAAGTCCCGTTAGAATAACAATAATGAACAGTTAAAAAAGAAAAAAATACGTATACCAAAAACAAACTCAATAAAGATTCAAACAATATATACAATAAGTTAAATAATAGTACGTAAACTACTAAACAATTAAACAAAATCTCAACAATACTTATAGAAAATAAAAATACTTACATTTAAAGAAAAAGCAAAACATCCAGAAAAGAAAAAAAATATCAAAAGTAAGTAAAGAAACAGTATTGACTTTTTATGTTAAAACATACAAAATATATACATAGATTGAAGATATATTAACGACATGACATGATCAACGGGATCAAAATATTGCATTATCGTGGTATAAGAGAAATAAAATAAGAATAAGTAGATAAATACAATTGGTATGTTATTTTAGTATGTTTTTAAGAATAATTCTATTTATATAATATTTTACCTAGTAGTTCCTACCTCTTATATATAATTAAAACCTGTTTCGACAACGATCTCATTTTCATATCTGTGTATGATAAACATTTTTCATTTGCATTGTCGCAGCAGACTTTTCGATTTTGATGGGGGGGAGGTGGACAAAAAAAAAAAAAAAAAAAAGACAAAGGTTTTATTATGTGTAAAAATTTAATATAAGTATTGTGAAACGAATATAATATTGAATATTTAAATTTTTTATTTTTTTTCTATAAAATATGCATTTGCGCCTGTC